GTGGGGTGGGGATGGATGGTGACAGCTCGAGGGAGCGGGGGCAGGACCGGAGGGCCAGTGCGCCAGGAGTCGGGGGGGAGGGGGGTGGCGGACGAGGCGGCAGCCCGGGGCAGAGCGGCCTTCCCGCCAGGGCCCCAGTGTGGCTACTGTGGGCACGCCAAGGCCTTCCCGACCTGGCACTTGGGCCTCAAATGTGCTGTCTGCAGACTGAGCCCCCAGGCTAGGAGAAGGGGGCCGCTCGAGGCGCGGCGCCGAGGGAGGGGTGTGGGGAGCCCCGCCTACATGTACTCCGAGACCGGGGCGTTGGAGATGGTCTGGGCCGGGGGCTGCAGGCTGGTCTGGCTGCCCAGGCCGCTGCTGTAGCTGCAGAAGCTGTGAAGCGGCCCCCGGGGAGGGATGTGCGTGGCAATGCGCCGGGCCTGGGGGTTGAAGGGGTCGTCATCATCGATGTCATCATAGTCTCGGTCCCTAAAATGACAGGATCCAAGGACAGGTGAGGGGTGGGCATCACCTGGGCAGGCTGGCCCTGGACCCTCCCCGGTCACTTTCCTTGCAAGGCTCCCCCTCGACTTGAGCTTTCTCTGAAAGATGGTCCTTAGTCCTGCTTGTGCAGACTGCCACTTTCCCACCCACCTCCTCCAGGAAGCCCACCATGCTTCTCTTGTCTGATTTCCTCTGTTGGCTTTAGGGATGAAAGGTTTGCTGATAACAGGGTTACAATGTTCCCTTCCTGACATCCCCTGGGGCACCTCCCCCAGGACTGAAAAAATCTCATGGAGGACAAGAAAGGGGACACTAAGCCGTGACATGATGGCTGTCACCCTACTCTGTTCAGTCTCTGCCTGGACCCCCAGGCCCATTTTCTGGGGGGGTCTGTCTGGACTCTCAGGGAGGCTTCTGTAGAAATGCACCTGCCCCTGGTGAATGCCTGCCCCTGCCCCACCCTGTCCGTGCACCTCTCAGCTCTCCCCCCTGCCCCGCACCCCTGGAGGTCTCTCCCCGGGCAGCCCACCTGGTGGTAAAGCTCTTCCAGGCTCTGGGTCCCACGCAGATCACGGTGGAGAAGGCGAGGGCGGCCAGCAGGGAGAAGAGACCGAGGCAGAGCAAGCCCTCGATGCCGTCAAAGCAGACCCCGGTGAGAGCATCCAGGTAGTCCTGGAGGAGGGCGACAGGCAGTTGGGGGCCCAGGGCAGGCTGGGGTCTGAGCAGGTCTCTGACCTGGGACCTCCTGCTGGCCTCATCCCAAACACTGCATGTGACCGGTAAGGGCCCATGCTCCCGAGGCCCAGGGCGGGGCTCTGGGGTCATTCTGCCCACTCTTGCTTAGCACCTACTGTGTGCCGGCATGAGATGGCTCTGGGAGACACACAAGGCCAGAGGAGAGGGGCCAGATGGCAAGAAGGAGCGGCGCCCACCCCGAGAGGTGAAGCGCAGGGCACGCGTTGGCAAGCTCAGGAAGGAGAAAGAAAGGGGCTGAGACGCTGCCAGGGCCTTCCGGGAGGGTCGGGGGTGGGGGGGGGGACGATCCAGCGTGCCTGCTGCTGCGTGTAGAGGCCATGGTGGCAAGGGGAGGCAAGAGAAGCGGGGACCGGTTAGGCGGCCACGGCTGACCCAGGGCTGCAGGAGCGTGGCTGTGGTGGAGGGAGAGGCAGGTGGATGAGTCCTGAGCTGGGGCTGTGCCCTTTGGACATGCTGAGGGACGTGATGGGGCGAGAGGGCCCCAGGGCCACGCCATGGTCTCAGCTCTACAGCCGGACTACCAGGGCCCAAAACCCCAGCCCTGGATCCTCCAGCTCCGGAACCTTCAGGGACCGCTTTACTGAGATATGATCGATAGTTAGATATGGATGGCGGCCACGATCGCCGTGACGACCCCACGCGGGGTCTGAAAGCTGCCCACAGACCAGCTTCCTGCTTCGGGAGAGGGGGCTCTATCCCACTGTGCCTCTGCATTGGTGTCTGGCATTCCAAGTTCCCGGAGGGGTCGCGCTGGCACCGAGGCCCACTTAGGAAGAGCAATGGGTGGACCAGATGACCGGGAGTCCGGCACTGGGGCACGGGCCCCCCCCATCTAGGCCAGGTCCACCTGTGTTCCGGGGTTAACCAAAGCCCTGCTCTTCCGGCCCCCAGCCCCTTCCTCTGGGTCTCCCTGTCTCGGCCAGGCACCTCGTCTGCCTGTCGTCTGTCTGCCCGCCCCGGTGGCCTGGAAGGGCCCGCAGCCTGCCCGCGCCTGCCTGGCTTCTCTGGGAAAGGTGCTCTGCGGGCGCCCCTCCCTCCCGCCCCCTGCCCAGCCCAGCACCTTGTGCAGCCCCCGGCAATCCAACAAGGCGGTGAGCTGGTGCAGGCTGGCCTCGGAGGAGTTCAGCAGGAGCTGGATGGCAAGCAGCTCGCTCTGGAGTGGAAGGAAGAGGCAAACCTGAAGACGCAGGCCGCGGCGGGGGAGCGTGGGGAGGGAGTCACGGGCACCGCTCAGCCCACGCACAGAGGAAGGCGCCCAAAGACGGGGGCGGGCCGGGGGAAGGGTCCAGCGGAGGGGCTCCCCTCCTGCAGCAGGATGCTGCCCTACCTGCGCCGTGGGGAACAGCGGCACGGCGAACCGCAGCAGTCCGGCCACCTGGACCTGCATGGTGGTCAGCGAGCGCTGGAAGATGGTCAGTGCCTGGTCCAGGAGAGACCCAGTGAGCTGTGACGGCCCAGACACCCCCAGTGCTGGGCCTGCACCCCCGGCGTCCCCCCTCCCGGCTGCAGTGGCAGCGGTGTCCCCAAAGGGGTCCCCGTGCCGCAGGCAACCGGCCTCCTCCCTCAGGCTTCCGAGAGCCCCACCGTTCTCCTGCTCCCTGCCACGGGCAGCTGGGTGCGGGGTGCCCAGACCCACTGGGAGCTTGGGGGGGATGGGGAGTCTCGGGCCGCCCCGACCACTGACCCAGAGGACACCCAAGAAACGGGCAGCTGCATCCTCTGCCCGCTGGCCAGCTCTGGGGCTTGGGGGCAGGATGGAGTGGCTGACGGGGGGCTGAGGGCGGGCTGGGGGCCGGTCTGGGGGGGCCGTACCTGCTGGAAGGGGCTGCTCGTGCTCTGACCGCAGTACAGGTAGTAACGGGTCACCGCTGCGAGGGCGAGGCACGGCGTCAGGAGGCTCCGGGGCAGGCTCCCGGCCGCCCGCAGAGGCCTGGCCTGGCCTTCCTCCCGCCCCCCGGCCCGGGAAGTACGCACGTCCCAAGGCATCGGGGCCCAGCTGGACCCCGAGTCTGGGCACCGGGAGGACTCTGGCGACTGCAGGGCCAGAAGGGAAGCGGGTCCCGGCCAGCTGCGAGGCCGGCGAGGCCGGTTACCTGTGCTGACGTGGCCCTCCGTGACGTTCAGGAGGAAGGTGTCGGGGGCCGCACAGAAGTCGCTGGTGCCCTGAACGGGAGGCAGGGGAGAGTGGGGACCTGTGGCCAGGCCCCTCACTCACCCAAGTGGGGGCGGGGGGTGGGCCGGCTCCCCCTCGGACCCAGGCTCCGCCCCTCCCAGGCCCCGTAACCCCTCGGGGCCTCGTCCATCCATCCCGCTCTCTCCCTCGTGCCTGGACACAGCATCTGTTGCCTCGGAGCCTGGGGCCCTCCTCCCCAGAATCTCCTCTCACCTGTGTTCTCTGTGGGCGCTTCCTTTCCGCTCTACTCCTCACCCCTCACCTCTGCTTTACAGCCCTGACCACGGTGGGGGTGCTGTTGCAGGAGGCCCAGAATAGTGCTCGAGGCCAGAGCTCAGCTTCCCCAAATCCCGCCCTCTCCATCCAGCATCCCAGCAGAGTCCCGGGGTCCTGCACCTTGCATGGAAATCCTTTCTGGGGACCAGGAGGTGGGGGTGGGGCTGGCTATCGCCTATTAAAATGCGGGGGTATCTTCAGCCCCCTCAAAGGCCCAGTCACACTGGGGTCCCTCACTCCAGGGCCTGACTAAGGGCTTAGGGAAGCAGCATCTCTCCTTGGCTGACTTGCATTCCAGGGCACTCATGGGAGGATTAGAGCACCGGGCTTTCCGGCAACCCAAAGCCTGAGGGAGGCGCCCCACCTGAGAAGGGTCTCCAGCAGGGAGTCTGGGGGCTAGTGGGATGCAGTCAGGACTTCCAGAGAGGGCCCTGCCCTGCCCTGGGGCCACCCCCACCCCCTGGAGCTCCTGCTCCCAGCTAAGGATGCCTCTGACCTGGGCCCTCCTTCGGGGGCTTCTGTTGCCAAGTGAAAGCTGCAGGTGGCGGGAAGGAGCCCGGGGAGGGGGCAGCCACCGCCCCCCCTTCCTGGCAAGCTCTTCAGGAGGCTGCTGTGAGCCAGGCAGCTCAGAACCAGGGCCCCTGCATTCAGTGGGCTGTGTGGGGGCCTGCTGTGGGCTGTGTGGGCTCGCTGTGGGCTGTGTGGGCTCACTGTGGGCTGTGGGGGCCCAGTGTCCAAGGCTTCCCGCCTCCCCGCCTCCCCAGACGAGGCATGGCCTGGGAAGGAGAGAGCTGGGGCTGCAGGGGGCAGGCCGCACCACCCTCCTGCCCAGAGCCAGGGGCTCCCTCCCTCCCTCCCGCCCCAGGCAGCCAGCCCCAGGCCAG